CTTTTGTTTTGGTTCACAAAATCATTTGTATTCCCCCCTGAAAACATTAAAATTCATAAAAGCGTAGGGGTATGAACTCACTGTTAGTTGTGTGCAAACGTTGAACTAGCGGACTGGAAATGAAGACCCTCGAGTTGTTGGATGTGACACTTAACGAAATCTGGGACTTGATTGAATCGAGGAAAACGGGTTTTCAGTCTAATTCACCGCTTAGAGAGAGTTTGCGGCCGTGAAGGGGGTTTACGACCGTGAACTGTTTACGGCCGTGAACAGCCTCTTGAAGGGTTTACATCCTTTGAAGATTCGATGAGTGTATGGTCGTAAACGGGTTTACGGCCTTTGAAGATTTGAAGATATGAAGTGTGTACGACCGTCAACTCAAGAACAAGTATGCTGGATTCGATGAACACGTGTTTTAGATGCTCCTAAACAACCTCCAGAAGGTGATTCTCGATGATTTTCGGAAGAATAAGGGTGTTTTTGGTGTTTACGGTCAAGAGTCTAGAGAGAGACAGTTTTCGGCCAGAAAAGTCTGAATGAGGGGTAGGGACTCGTATTTATTGGGGGGTTTTCATGGTCGGTGGTGAGGTCCACTTGGCACTGACCGCAAACGGGTTTTCGGGCGTAAACGAGTTTACGGCCGTGAACTCAAGTCAGGCCGTGAATTGTTGTTTTGATTGAAGGAAAACTCGAAATTTCGCGTAGTTTTGGTCCCGACTCATATATAAAGTTCAATTATATAACTAAATGACTTTCCAAACCAAAGGAATTTGACGGAACTTAATAAAATTCAAATTTTATTAATGGAATTTGGCTAACGGTAACGGAAAAAGTTCGTGTTGTCACATAGATGTATTGTATGATGAGTTTTGTATGAAAACCTTCGTATATGATGTTCTGTATGAAAAACACTGGCAACCACCAGTATGTATAGTAGTTTTGTTATTTAGAGCAAAACCATGTATTCAAACTCCTTGAAATTCTCCTGTTGTAATGTATGATAGTTCTATTAATAAAAATAAAACTAATTGAAGAATGAAATTCCGTAAACAAATGGTTAGTTTATACTATTGTGAGTTCGTATAACCATGCTTGATATGACCTAGTGACCTTTACGACATTCTTCAAGTGTCAGATATATGCCATTTGTCACCTCAGGCATGCCTGCCTAACTGTAGCTAGCAGTTCAGGTGTGGGATTGTCAGTCCCGAATAGATCTATTCACAAATCTCACGCTCTCCCTCTAGGAGACTCTGGTTATACTATGATAGGATTTAACCCGCACCCCGAAGGGTACAATTGAAGTGATGTCTCACAACCATGTATTAACTAGTTTACGTGTTGTTTTTGTATCGTTCTCTTGTACTTGAATCGTATGTATACTTTACAGAGTAATAATAATTATACTTAAATAATTATTTAGTGTGGTACTCTTGTATTCAGAAAGTAGTAATGTATACCATAAACTATATCTGTCATAGTTTAAATGATTGCTAATGTATAATTCCTGAAATGATAAAAAAAAGCGTATTGTAATCCCAAACTATACGTATTATAGTTTGCGCGTGTGTTAAGTACTCGGTTCGTGTATTGTTCTGAAAACTATGCAATTATAGTTGTGAGTTGAAAGCTTCCCTTATGCTCAGCATGTTACAAAAGGGATAAAATATATAAATATTTCATAAAATGTGAAGACCTTTTGGTTGTATCAATTGCATAAGTTTTTTTTTTATCCTTATAAAATTTTATGTATAAATTTCATAAAAACTATTTGTGTTTAGCTTGTATCCCCCCCTCCCCTGAAAACATTAAAACTATAAAAGCGTAGGGGTATGAACTCACTGTTAGTTGCGTGAAGGTGTCGGACTGTGAAACTGAATGAGGACCTTCGAATCGTTGAACGCGGAATTAACAGAATCCTAATAATAATTAAACACATATACACGTAATATTAGCGAAACCATTAATTATAGTGTTGGAAAACACTTGCTTTTAGTTAAAGAATATTACCCGGACTCGATTGAATCGGAAAAAGCGGGTTTTCAACCAAGTTCACGACTTGGGAAGGTTTGCGGCCGTCAACTGTTCTCGGCCGTGAACAGCCCTTGAATGGTTTACGGCCGTGATCAGTGTTCTTGAAGAAATATGAAGGTTTGAAGGGTTCATGGCCGTGAACTGATTTCGGTCTTTGAAGATTTGAAGGGTTTGCGACTGTGATCTCAAGAACAACAATACTGGATTCGATGAAAAACGCGTTTTAGATGCTCCACAACAACACCCAAAGGTGATTCTTGATGATTTTCGAAAGGAAAGAGGGTATTTTTATGTTTGCGGTTGAGAGGTTAGGGAGAGAATGGGGGAGTTTTCGCCCCAGAAAAGTGTAAATGAGGGGTAGGAGCACATATATATAGGGGGTTCATGGTCGGTGGTGGGGGCCACCAGCCGTGAATGGGTTTACGACCGTGATCGGGTTCACGGCCGTGAACACCAGTCAGACCGGTTTTTACTGATTTTTGAAGAAACTCGGGTTTTCGCTTGATTTTGGTTCCGACTCTTATATAAAATTAAATTATATAACTTAAATGATTTTCCAAACCATAAAAATTTGATGGAATTAAATAAAATTCAAAATTTATTTAACGGAATCGGGCTAACGTTAACAGAAAAAGGTTCGGGTTGTCACAAATAACCACAAATGATAGTTGAAAGTTCAAATGAGAACCACTAAAAGTTAAGAACCACTTAAGAACCCTTTTTATTAAGGGTATTTTTTGTCCAGATACAACCATTAAACAAAAAGCTAGATCATACATTCAAATTTCAAAAACACTTTCAAACTCTCTCATCTCTTTCCAACTCTCTTATGAACATTCAAGAACTGATAAAGCTAACACCACCTCTACCACCTAGTGCCGCCACCTACCGCCACCACCTACTACTACAACCTGCCAGAGCCGCCGCCATTTTACCAGTGCCTAATACCGCTGACCAAACTCACCACTATCACCTCCATCCTCCAGTCACTCAGATCTGAAGCCATACATCACATCTGCTACCTACCACCGTCGTCATTAGGGGTGAGCATTTGGACCGAACCGGACCGGACCGGACCGACGATTGGACCGGACCGGTTATGGAGAATATTGTGGACCATGGACCGGACCGGATGAGTCGTGTCCGTGTCCGTGTCCGGGTCCGGGTTTTCCGGTTCTTGGACCCGTTTGGACCGGTACAACTTTAATTGCATAGAGTACAAGTCGTTAAAATAAGTTTTTAGGTTTAATACGATACAACTTGTAAAATGATTATGTTTCCGTTTCATGCATAACTAATCTACCTTGATGTTATAATATTATAAGTTGCAAAATTAATTTTCCAAATAAAATCAACTAACATATAAATCAAGTTCACCAAGATCCATTTCATATGATTTATCTATCAAAGATACATAAAATTCAGAATTATAGTATAAAATGATAGTTAAAAAGTTGAAATATTTCAGCTTTGATAGATCAACTTTGAAGGATTGTAACTCACTGAATATAATACCAAAATCAACAAAATTATAGTCTAAATTTATCTACAAACTGTAAAATAAATGTTGGAAAAAACCTCAGGTTAATCCGACTTAAAACGAATGAATTATGGTTGTTTAAAAATTTTCACAGATTACAAAATTTTAAAAAACTTGCTGAAAAGCTGAAATTTTTCAGCTTTGATAGCTCAATTTTGAAAGACTGTAACTCATTGAATATATTACCAAAATCAACAAAATTATAGTCTAAATTCATCTACAAACTGTAAATTAAACGTTGGAAAAAACCATGTGTCAATCGGACTTAAAATGAACGAGTTATGGTTGTTTAAAAGTTTTCACAGATTACAAAATTTTAAAAATGTTGCTGAAAAACTGAAAATTTTCAGCTTTGATAGCTCAACTTTGAAAGTCTGTAACTCATTGAATACTATACCAAAATCAACAAAACTATAGTCTAAATTCATCTACAAACTGTAAGTTAAACGTTGGAAAAAACCGCGTGTCAATCCGATTTAAAACGAATGAGTTATGGTTGTTTAAAAATTTTCACAGATTACAATTTTTTTTTTAAATCGGGTCAAACCTGTTCTAAAGCCGGTAAAAACCGGACCGGACCGGGATGAATTCCTAGAACCGAGAACCGGCCCGGGGGTCCAAAAAACGGTCCGGTCCGGTCCGGTTCACCGGTCCGGTCCGGTCGACCGGTCCAAATGCTCACCCCTAGTCGTCGTCTCGTTCTGATGAGCTTCTACTAGCTGCGCTGACTTCTCTAAAACACTAGTGCCGATGCACGGAAAAGTAAAATGTGAAAGATGGATATACCCTTAGGCCTATTTTGTAATTTCATTAAAACCGGAAAAATGATATTTTAAATGATTTTTTTTTTTTAAGAAAAAATACGTTTTGATTTTTATACTCTGTATTAAGCATGATGATGAATATAAAAATCATAACATTTTTTTTAAATGAATAGATACAAACATAAATAAAATATCACCTCCCTTAAAATAAACACCAAACAAGGCTATTAATTATTTCTTAGACTTCTCGTTTTGGTTTTAATGTGTTTGTCTAGCACCAACTCGACATTGATGTTACAAATTCACATGAATAAACATATCAACACACCGCATATTCAAGAATTGTAATTTGGTGATCCCTACCATAAGAAATATAATTAAATAACAAATTTTTCTTTGAATATCGTTTGATTGGTATATATTTGCAAAATTTGAATGTCTATCGGATTCCTTGTGGGTAATGCGGACTTACTTTTGAGACATGACAAATGTGAATTACCGAAAGAATAACCTTTTTTTTTTCTTTCCCAAAAAATATATATAATCTATTATTGATATACGTTAATGGTTTGATTGCAACCATACTGCTTCAATTTTCTTGCTTTCACATGACATATAATTATCAACTTGTTCCAATTAAACAGCAATAATTTGAATGCAGACCTGGAATACTTTAATCTCGTGCATAAAACAAACAAAAAAAATGCAAATAATTATAATACTGCCTTTTGTAACAGAAGATGGGTACACCCACATGCACTTATATATATTATATTATAATAAGGTACAATAACCAAGTGCGAGGTTACAATTCAAATGATCATCATTATATCAAACTGATATTTTCCTAACTTTCTTCATCACCTTACTTGTTTCATGATATATTTTTTTTCTCACCAGAATGGAGAAACCAATAGGATAAGTAAACAGGACCATAAAGCAAGTGCACGTTTTGGGACCATTGGCTACTACCTCCTCCAATAAAAGAAGAAAATTCATCCTATTTCTTCCTGTATGTGTTAATTGTTGTTGATGATTACACAATAATGGAGAATCTGGATAGCAATATGAATATTGGTAAGTTATTATGTTCAAGTTATGTTGAAGATTTACTTAGTTTATTTCCATGTTTGATTATTTTCATTGTTTCAATTTTGCACTACAATCACCTATTCGTGCGTTATCTTCGTTACAAGAAGATAGTAATGTTAATTTTGGTTAACAAGATTCCTCCTACTTTTTTCTTTTCTAATTGAAGTTCTTTTAAGGAGTAATATACGTATGCATAAAGATTCTACTCTTTCAACTGTTTTACTACGATAATATATGCATAAAGTACCTAATAGTATTTGTTTGTTTCGATGAAAACTTAGCAGAAGAGGTGAATGATTCTCCAATTGAGCAAGTGAGACTAACAGTTCCAATCACAGATGATCCAACATTACCTTGCTTGACATTTAGGACATGGTTTTTGGGGATCATATCATGTAGTGTTCTTGCTTTCTTAAACCAGTTCTTTGGTTATCGTCAAAACCCACTATACATTTCATCAGTTTCGGCTCAAATTCTCGTGCTTCCGATTGGGAGGTTAATGGCAGCAACTCTACCCACAAAACCAATTCGTGTTTTTAGATGGTCGTTTTCACTCAACCCTGGACCCTTCAACTTGAAGGAGCATGTTCTCATTACAATATTTGCAAATTCGGGTTCGAATTCGGTTTATGCAGTCTCCATAATCACTATAGTCAAAGCTTTCTATCGTCGTAGGCTCAACCCGATTGCAGCCATGTTGCTTACACAAACTACCCAGGTTCAATTCTTCTCTATTTTCCTGATTTCATTGCTCTTTGCTGATATTGCACCTGAACTTAAATAACCCGTTTCACATGGATATAAAGTCTTGAATTATGAGCCTGTTATAAGTATTAAGTTGTGGGTTGCAAATTACTTTTACCATGGTTTTACAATGATGTTGAAGTTATTGGGCTAGCCTATAGCTTTTGGGCTTGGGGATTACAATATGGTACCATATTGAGTTTCATGAAGTAATGATTCATCTCTCTTGCTTGATGGTGATTGTAGATGCTTGGATATGGATGGGCTGGTCTTTTCCGAAAGTTTTTAGTTGATTCGCCATATATGTGGTGGCCTGCCAATCTCGTTCAAGTCTCCCTCTTCAGGTTCATCTTTTTGTTTTTGAGTGTGTGTGAGAGAGAGAAGAATGCGAAGAAAAACCTATCCGTTTTGAAAACGGACGGTTTTGGCTTTTGGTTTAAACTCGAAATAAAAACCGAATTGAATCGTATCTTAATACGATGTCGTTTTATAAAGTATATAAGTTTTCCATATTTGATTAATTTTTTGGGCTAAATGCAAGAAAGTAAAACATATTCTATTTATTTGTGTATTATAACATTCTAAAATCCATTTTTTCTTATTACAAGATTGCACTTTCAAACTTTCCACATTAAGATGATCTATGACAATCTACCCAACTGTAGGACATTATACTTTAAAATCTATCCAATTATACAATGAAAATTTCTTTGTATTTACATGATCTTTATGATTGGGTAGGGTTCTCAAAATGTTGTAATAAAAATAAATATTAAAGTAGGATGCTATAATAAACAAATCAATGAGAGTACATTGCTATTTCTTGCATTTAGATATAAATTTTAGAATACTTTCTACTATCATATATTGCAAAGTTTAACATAAAAGTTCTTCATGTTTTCATGGATTTTGGCTTCAAAACAAGTCCATGTAATATTTTGCTATATATTATGCAACAAATAAACCAGAAAACCAAAAAAATAAAATCAAAGACAAAACGGACAAAATGTTTTCCCCAAATTTTAGGCATATACGAACAAAACCGAACTGCACCATACTCACCCTGACTATGTAGATGTATTTCTTTACCAATTTCTCATAAAAGTTTCTCTTTTTTCAGGGCATTGCACGATGAAGAAAAGAGGCCAAAAAGAGGCATGACAAGGCTACAATTCTTCCTAATAGTCCTCGTATCAAGCTTCGCATACTACATCATTCCCAATTACCTATTCCAATCCATAACTGCCATCTCATTCGTTTGCTGGATATGGAAAGACTCAGTCAAGGCTCAACAAATTGGTTCCGGTCTCCGTGGCCTTGGAGTTGGAGCCATTGGACTCGATTGGGCGACTGTATCTGCTTTTCTTGGAAGTCCCTTAGCCACCCCCGGATTTGCCATCATGAACATATTAGCCGGGTATATAATAGTTGTATACATAATGGTTCCCATTGCTTATTGGAATAATTGGTATGAAGCCAAGCGGTTCCCGATTTACTCTTCTCATGTGTTTGATGCACAAGGAGGAAAATATAACGTTTCAAGAGTTTTAAATTCCACAACCTTCTCATTTGACAAACAAGGATATAACGATTATAGCCAAATCCATCTTAGCATCTTTTTCACGTTTGCTTACGGTCTAAATTTTGCCACATTGGCTGCCACACTCTCTCATGTTGCACTCTTCCATGGAAGGTATGCCCTTAAGTTCTTCGAGAACCTTATTTATTCAAAGTATAAAGAATGGTTAAATTCAAAAAGTAGGAATGTACTTTGATTGGTTGCTTATTATAGCATCTTACTTTCATTTCTTTCTTTAACATCATTATAGTTTAAGAATTTTACCGAACTATAACAATGCCATCCAAAGAGAAAGCAACTTTCATTGATACAATAACAAGGATTTGAAAGTATATTGTTATAATCAGGTGGAAATTTCAAAGTACAATGCACTAATAGAAAATAAGTGACACCACGATGTTGTAAAGAAAGACATAAAAGTAGGAATATGTATTACACAAATATAGAAAATTACAATGCTATTTCTTGCATTTAGTCCTAAAAAAGGCATACACCTTGGTTCTCATGACCAACATGAGGAAGGTAAATCACAATGTCTCAGAGTGATGTCATGTCAGACTTTACCCTTAGTCCTCACTTATGGATTCTTACCTCATTACCAAATATGTAGAGACATGTTTAAAAGAAAACATGGGCTCATACAAGCTTGATGTATTTAAATGTGTTTGTCTTGTCATATGCAGAACGATTTGGGAGCAAACAACAGCATCATTTAAAGACAAGTTTGGGGATGTTCATACTAGACTGATGAAGAAAAACTATGACCCGGTCCCACAATGGTGGTTCTACTCTCTTTTGGTATTGGTGATAGGACTTGCTTTGCTAACATGTGAGGGTTTTGGCAGACAGCTGCAACTCCCTTACTGGGGAGTTCTTTTAGGAATCGGTCTGGCTTTGCTCTTCACACTACCAATAGGAGTTATCACCGCTACAACTAATATGGTAGGCCCCATTTGCTGTATCGAGCATGACTATACATGTTAGCATTTGGCATATAGGCCACTTAAAAAGTGAGACATGGACTCCCTCTTGATCTTTTTTCTACAAAAGACATGAATGCCCTCTTCATCCCCATCATCTAAAATACCCCTAAAAAGTTAATGATTACATGAATACCGTTTTTCGCGTCTTTGCTTAATCTTTTTTTGTATTCTAAGAGTGATTTTTTCTTACAGCAACCAGGATTAAATGTCATTACAGAGCTGATTATTGGTTATATCTACCCCGGGAAACCACTAGCCAATGTGGCCTTCAAAACATATGGCTACATAAGCATGTCACAAGCCATCATGTTCCTCCAAGATTTTAAGCTTGGACATTATATGAAAATCCCACCAAAGTCCATGTTCATTGTCCAGGTAAATATATTTATGTTGTTGCACTATTTCACATAATAAAACAGACTTACAAATAGTTCAAACTAATTATATCATCTTTAACCAAAAAAAAAAAAAAAACTAATTTATACTCATTTTTGGTGCATAATAAAGTTGGTGGGGACAATAATTGCATCATCAGTCTACTTTGCAACTTCTTGGTGGCTATTGACAACAGTCGAATACATTTGTGACCCAAGTAAGCTGCCCGAAGGAAGCCCATGGACCTGCCCGGGAGATGATGTGTTCTACAACGCCTCAATCATATGGGGCGTAGTGGGACCTCAACGTATGTTTGGAAATCTTGGGTTATACTCCAAAATGAACTACTTCTTTCTATTAGGAATTCTCGCACCATTTCCAGTTTGGTTTCTTTCTCGAAAGTTTCCCAATAGAAAATGGATTAGGCTCATAAACATGCCAATTCTTATATCGGGCCCAGGTGGCATGCCACCAACTAGAGCTGTAAACTACAACATGTGGTTTGCTGTGGGGATTTTTTTCAACTTTGTGGTGTATAAGAAGTTTAAAGGGTGGTGGGCTAGGCATAACTATATTTTATCAGCTGGGCTTGATGCAGGAGTGGCATTCATGGCTATTCTTTGCTATTTTGTGCTACAAATTAGAGATATCAATGGACCAAAATGGTGGGGTATGGAGATAGATGATCATTGTCCTCTTGCTAGCTGCCCAACTGCCCCTGGTATTAACGTTGAGGGATGCCCTCAAGTCCATTAAGGCATTAACACTCTCTTTCATGTTATCTTGTTCACATTGGTAAAAGCATAGAAAGTGTATAGACTTATTCCAAGGATGTTTCACAAATGGACATTCTTTGAGGTAGAATAGATAGATAGATAATAAATATAATTTGTATTTGACAATTTTATATTATTCGAAATGGTTGTTTGAAAGTTCAAATTGGACCACTTTTAGTTTTGTGTTTTGTTGTTTGATACTTTGGTTTAAGGTACGATGACATAGTTTGACATATTAAAGAAATAAAGAAATAAAAAGCAAAACAATTATCAATTAACAATTAAATTAAATAAGTCGACGACTGGAAATATTTAATAATAATAATCATTAAAAAAAAAAACCTCTTTCATTAGTTGCCAGAAATAGAAGCAAACAAAACACGGATTAACACGAGGAGGTAAATAATTGTAGTTTGACATTCATGAATAATGATAAATTCCATTGGAAAGAAAATCTTTTCCTCAACCTATCATCTTCACAAGAAAAAATGGCAAGCTTTTTGTTTCGCTCAAGTTGTGGTTTATGGCATCTATGGTGACAACCTATTAACATCTACGGTGACAACTTATTAATTAAGCGGTCGGATAAAATAACAACTCTTAATCCCGTATACAGAGAAAAAAAGTACGGGTGGTGCTAAAAAAACCTCCTTTAGGGTTTTTAATTATATTATTTTCGGTGAAAAAGTCAAACCTAGTAATTAGTCAAATCAATTTGGGTTGTCAATCATAATTAAATATATTTTATTTATAACTTATTATTTTATTATTAATAAATTTGTTTTCTTAATATATATTAGTGATAAATAATATTTTTTACCCTAAATATTTTTTATTATATTGGTTGAATTATTAAATTTTATGACTAATATAATATACAATTTTTTTTATTTATATTTAATGTTATAATAAAAATAAAAATTTATAAGTAAACATATAGTCTAAAGCAAACATTTTTTTGTAAATCAAACTTTGTTACTGTTTGGGATCTTTAGTGTTATAATTTTATTTTATTTTTTTGTGCTATTTTGAGTAAAAAAATGTTATAAAAAATATTTAAATTTAATAATATAGATACTTGTAGTTTTAAAAAAGGAAATGATTTGATTTTGTTTGAATGCCTTTTAATTTGGATGTGTGTAAAAAAGTGGAAAAATTATCTAGTTTGGAACATAGAATAATATGAAATTTTTGCATAACGATATATTACAGTGTTACGTCAAAAAATATTAATTTACATAATTAAATATTATAAACAAACAAAACATCATAAAAAAATAATAATACATCCGAACTAGTTTTTGAAGTGTAATTGTTTACAGATTCCGATTAGCCTATGCTTATGCATAACTCGAAACTTGTTTCAGATTAGCCAATAATTGTTTTCAGATTAAATAACTTATGTTTTTTCACTTTTCGAATTAGTCTTTAACCGTTTTCATATTAAATAACCTAAGCTGTAAAGAACGTTCCAAATTTCGATGATGAAATTTTTTAAAAGCGGGTTTCGAGTAAACGAATAAGACTTTTACTTAACGAAAGCTAAAAAAAATCAAAAGGAAAAAAATTCGGATATCTTTTTTCATAAAGAGGGAGCCTATTTACAAAAATATTTAAGAAAAAATCAAAAACAAAAAAAAAATGGAAAGATATCTAATTTACTCGGAAAAAAATCAGAAAAAATAAAAAGTTAAATTGGTAGACATGGCAAGTTTTTTTTTTTTTTATATATTTAAATTATGAGGGGTTTTTTTTTTAAGAAACCCCAATACAAATCAAAGTCAAATTGGTTTTTTCAAAAATTAATTATTTAGAAAATTTTCCATATAATTATTGATTTTGCAGTGCTCACTATGAAATATCTAAATAAATATTCTTTCGGTAAAAAAATTTAAAAAAGAATCATATTGCGCAATGGAACTCGTCACTGCAATATTTTTTAGGAAAGATCCGCACTGCGAAATTCACTCTAGGTATTGCGAAACTGTTCATATTTTTATAAAACTAATTATTTTTCTCGGTAAAACATTTTATGTAGTTTTATATTATTAAAACGTCTTAAGTTATGACCGATATTATTTAAAAAAAAAAACCTTATATATGAAGTCCTGCAGTACCAAAACCTATTTTGCAATTGGTCATAAGTAATTTTTTTTTGGAACCGGCAAATATATTAAAATAAGGACCCTAGCAAGGAGCTAGGGGCCAAAAGTACACAGTAGATAGAAACATACAAAATTAAATACAACTTAAGGGCGAGAAACACCACTTAACCCAATCATCTCCAATACCTCTATTCTTCCTATATTTTCTCCACCTGAAAACCGTAGCTTTAATAATGTCCACAATCTTCGCCGGTTCCGAAATCACACCTCTGAATATCCGATCATTTCTATCCTTCCAAAGACTTCATAATGTTCTATATACAACACAAGACAACAGCTCTTTCTTTTTAGGGCAATGCCCCCAATTCCGAGCGAATGCTAGCACTTCATTTACTTCTGTAATTGATTACTTTTTTAAAAAATGGGTTAACAATTTAGGCTTCAGATAATAAAATATCTATTTATGTGTCCTACGTTATAACTATGATAGTGACATGTCATAAAAGAATTTAAAGAAAATGAGGGCCAAAATTAAAATCATGGAAAGATTCCATTTCCAAATAAACCATTATTTGCGACAATTCGAATCCTTAAATATTGGAGTTCACTCGCTGATTGGTTCACCTGTTATATCAATCCGGCAGCAGTTGGCCAGTTGCCGTAACAATATCTCGTTCTCGTTCTTAAATAATTGACGATATCTCACTAATACCAAATTTTTCCACTTTAATTGCCTAACAAATCATTCTTTTTTCGTTAATGTTCATTTAATTATATCACTAACCTTTATTTCATTTACTAATTTAAAAAAAAAACGTATACGAAAATATCTCTTGCCTTGTAATTAGTGAATTAAAGAGATAAGAAATTGAACGGTTCCACGAAATTTGTACACATAGAGTTAAAGACAAAGACTTGATCTTCATGCCTCTTGTTTTATATGCCTGTCTTTGATATATATTAACCAAGTCAGGCTTCTGAAGTTCTGACGCCACACCTTTGCAAGTACTTGCAAGCAACGCATATCCATCCATTGTTTATCATAATATTATTTCTATTCATACTTAACTTGTTTGTTGGACAAAAGTTTTGTAATACTGCATTTAACGTGCATCAGACTGCGAACAAAATTGTATTTTTTCTTTCATCGAAAAAAATGTTCTGATTTGTTAACAAAAGACGTGAATGTTCTTCTCATACTGATCAACAAAAAGACAGGTCAAATGAAACAAAGGGTTTTCCGTCACCTCATTTTTGTATGTGTCTTGATCCATGTGAACAAAATATAAGTCAAGGCTAACACAACATTGTGAGGAAATCTATGAAGTCTATAAAAGCTTCATAAACATGTAATAAGTTTCGGTAGCTAAACATGGATCTTCAAGAAAATCAAAAACAAAAACCACGTCCAGAATCTGGTAAAGTTTTATATCAAATATATTACTTAACTTTTTATATAACTTTGTGTGGTTCTGATAATGATTAATATAATTTTGTTTTGATTTACAGAAGAGATAAATGATTGTCCAATTGAGCAAGTTCGACTCACTGTCCCTATAACAGATGATCCAACACTTCCATGCTTAACTTTCAGAACATGGTTTTTAGGGATCATTTCTTGTGGTGTTCTTGCTTTCTTGAACCAGTTCTTTGGTTATCGCCAGAATCAACTAACAGTGTCCTCGGTTGTAGCACAAATTGTGGTTCTTCCTGTTGGAAGAATAATGGCAGCAAGTCTACCCACAAAAGGAGTAACAATTCCAGGGACGAAATGGTCATTTTCATTGAATCCAGGACCTTTTAACGTAAAGGAGCATGTCCTTATTACTATATTAGCAAATGCGGGTTCGAGTTCGGTTTATGCTGTGGGGATTATCACTATTGTTAAAGCCTTTTACCACACTGAAATCCACCCTCTTGCAGCCATGTTGCTTACCCAAAGTACTCAGGTGAATTTTTACGAATATTATTTCCCAAATCTTGCAAAAATAAATACAACAAAGAGAAACTTACAACAAAATAAACATATATCACCATCACTAATCAAGGGTTCGAGTCTCAACAGCCCCAATGTTAAAGTTTCAATTCAAATGTTTATCGGGCCTCTTGTGGGTATTTGGCTCTTATTCCAGTCACCTAGAAGAATAACATTTTTTTTGCAAAAAAACACAATACATATTTGCTTTAGTTTTTTATATTAGAACCACAAACCAAGGTTAAAGTTTGTGGGATTTGAACCTAAGGCTACTCCTTTTGAAGTGCTTAAATTCTAATTGTTATTCTATTCTGACTTTTTTTTTTTTTTTTTGATTGAATAAGTAGCTTCTTGGATTTGGATGGGCTGGTCTTTTCCGGAAATTTTTAGTTGACTCTCCATATATGTGGTGGCCTTCAACTCTAGTTCAAGTCTCCCTCTTCAGGTTTATGGGTGGAAATGAAATTGAATACATAACGACCACATATTCATTTTTTATTATATATTAATAGATTAATGTTGGATTTGGAATTGGAATTAAGTAAACTATTTTTTTTTTTGAAGGGCTTTGCATGAGGAAGAGAAGAGGGCAAAGGGGGGACTTTCAAGGCTGCAATTCTTCATGATTGTGATTATAAGTAGCTTTTCATACTACGTGGTTCCGAATTATCTCTTTCAATCCATCACAGCCCTCTCTTTCGTATGTTGGATATGGAAAGATTCCTTCAAAGCTCAACAAATTGGTTCTGGTCTTAAAGGTTTTGGAATCGGAGCTTTTGGCCTTGATTGGGCCACAGTTGCTTCTTTCCTAGGAAGTCCATTAGCCACCCCTGGATTTGCTATGGTGAATATGCTAATTGGCTATGTAATCACTTTTTACATAATAATTCCCGTAGCTTATTGGAACAACTGGTATGAAGCTAGACGATTTCCTATGTATGCTTTCAAGACATACAATGCTGATGGAACAAAGTACAATGTCTCTAAAGTTTTGAACGAAACGTCTTTCTCCTTTAATCAAGCGGGATATGATGAATATGGAAAAGTCAACCTTAGTATCTTGTTTGTACTTGCTTATGGTCTAAGCTTTGCTACACTAGCTGCCACAGTATCTCATGTCCTTCTCTTCCATGGGAGGTATTTACTATTTAGTATTTACTCTTGCATAAAGATTCATATGAAGTCCATTAGGTTGTTAATTTTTTTCTTAATATCTTGTTATGTTAAATAAAGGACAATTTTGGAACAAACGAAGGCGTCAATGAGGAAGAGTATAGGGGACGTGCATACAAGGTTAATGAAGAGAAACTATGATTCTGTCCCACAATGGTGGTTTCACACTCTTCTAGTATTAGTAATAGGACTTGCTTTGCTTACTTGTGAAGGATTTGGGAGGCAATTGCAACTTCCTTATTGGGGAATTATCTTAGCAATTGGTTTGGCTGCCATATTCACCTTGCCCGTTGGTGTTATTGTAGCTACCACAAACCAGGTAACTATCCATTTTATGCAATAAGGAGGTCACAATCCAAAAGTGAGGTCTCAAGTTCAACACTCTGAACCTGAGACCTCACCTATGTTGTCTGTAGGACCTGTTGGTGGCGTTTACCTTTTTTTCATTAGTCATAATTGGTGAATTTTTTGGATTTCTTTTTTACAGGGAGTAGGTCTAAATGTGATCACAGAGCTAATCATAGGGTATATGTACCCGGGGAGGCCACTAGCCAATGTGGTGTTCAAAACCTATGGTGACAACAGCATGTGGCAAGCCATAACGTTTCTCCAAGATTTTAAGCTCGGCCATTATATGAAAATCCCACCCAAGTCCATGTTCATTGTTCAGGTACAAAAAACTTACAGTCCCAACATGTTTGTCCTAACAGTAAGAAGGTGAGAATCTATAAATAAAGTCTCCGGTTTAAAACCTGACAACAATCACTTTCAGTTTCCCAATCTCCACAAGGACTCTTTTAAAAAGACAATCTTTGATTTTTCACACAAAATTTTATCATAAAATTGTTTTAATTTGTGAATTCATTTTCCTAAAAGTTGGTAGGTACAATCATCGCATCGTCAGTCTACTTTGCAACATCATGGTGGCTCCTAACAACAGTGGAATACATCTGTGACCCCATTAATCTACCAAAGGGAAGCCCATGGACATGCCCAGGAGACGATGTTTTCTACAACGCCTCAATTATATGGGGATTGGTGGGCCCACAACGTATGTTTGGGAACCTAGGGTTATACTCAAAGATGAATTACTTCTTTCTGTTTGGAATTCTTGCACCTGTGCCCTTTTGGTTCCTTTCTTGCAAGTTTCCAGAGTGGAAATGGCCGAGGCTTGTGAACATACCTATCCTTATAAACTGTCCAGGGCCACCAGCAAAAGCAGTAAACTATAATATGTGGTTTGCTGTGGGGATGTTCTTTAACTTTGTTGTTTATAAGAGGTTCAAGAGTTGGTGGGCAAGGCATAATTATATATTATCAGCTGGGCTTGATGCTGGTGTTGCATTCATGGCGATTCTTTGCTATTTGGTGTTACAAAATAGGAATATTAATGGACCAGAGTGGTGGGGTTTGGAGGTAGATGACCATTGTCCATTGGCTAATTGTCCTTCTGTCCCTGGTATCCACGTTCCAGGTTGCCCTGTAATCCAATGAAACTAAGAAAGAGGATGTTAGCCATTGTTGTTACACTGTAATTTTATGAAATTTTAGGAATTATACTATACGATTTGAGGTAGAATTGCAACGAATAGGGGTTGGGTTTGTGTATGTAGAAAATGACTCATATACAAATGTATCATGTATTTGAACATGATTTGATTCGACACCCAAAGATTTGTTTGAGTTGCATTTGTGAGACAGATAAACCTGAATCGGATCTTCATAGCACGTTGGTTAGTTGAATCCAGTTCATAATAAAGGACTATTGGTTCGATAAAAGTTGAAAGGTTGAGAGATACCAGGTGTAAATTACTCATAAGTAGGGGTGTTATTCGGTTTGGTTTTCCGGTTTTCGGTTAAAACGGTTCGGTTTTATCGGTTTTTTTACATTTTAAATCTAACCATAACCAAACCAAATAAGGTTCGGTTCAATCGGTTTCAGTTTATTCGATTATGGTTTATTCGGTTCGGTTTAACAGTTAAACCGAATAAAATCCAACACGTAAAAATAAATATTAAACTTAAAGAAAAAAGGACTTACCAAAATATTACCAAACAAAGAAACTACATTAATATATAAAATATTATATTCAAGTTTTCGAAATAGGTCAATATAATTTTAATCGTACGACTAAAGACTATTTGGTTAATTTGTTTTTGCTTTTTAATACAAAATATAGAACAATTATAACTTTATAATTGTTAGTAACTAAAAAAGTCATGGAAACCTTAGTAACTAATCAATAAATTTATATATATAATGTTTGTTTATATATATATATATATATATATATATATATATATATATATATATATATATATATATATTAAATAGCTTATTCGGTTTTTCGGTTTAACCAAAATAATAAAAATTTAACCAAAAACCAAACCGAATAAGATATCCTTATTCGGTTAACCAAACCAAATAACCCGAACCAAATAAACCAAACGTCATTTTGTTCGGTTTGGTCATTCGGTTTTGGTTTTTTATGACACCCCTACTCATAAGTGCAATACATTGACCAAATTTTAATGGAATAGACAAGCTATACCAAGATGACAATCGAACTATTTGAATTAAGAGAAGCTATATCAAGTACGATAGATCAATCAAGCGAAATATTAAGGAGATAGACGCACATGCAAAGATAGCAAAGAAGAAGTTGGTAGCTGCTAGGAGTATGAAGATGCGTCGCTTGCCACTGTCGGTCTGTCGCCCATTCTCGCCTTCTTTTGGGCGATCATCATCATTCATTAGCCGGGTTTTGCAATCGCTCGGCCCAAAAAAATCCCAGGAGTATATGTTAAAACACTTATATTTTTAAATTTTTGATAATTTAAGGTTTGAGCTATATAGCTACAAAGACTTTCAAGGGTTTGTCTCTATTAGATTAAAAAAATTTAGAAAATATATATTTCTATTAAAAAAATAACATAATGTTTTTTTAATGCTTTGATAAAAATAGATTGCCCTTTTCTATGTTTAAAAAGCTTTAAATAAGACTTCCAAAAAATATAAAAGTTTTAATACACTAAAAAAATAATATAATATTTTTTATAAGAATTTCTTTAAATAAAAGGAAGAAATCCTAAATCAGTAGGCTACCGGACCATAGTCGTCGGAAACTTCCATATGTCATCGATATGCACTCTAAAGCCATCGATATGCACCATCGATTGTCTTCGAACATCGCCACAAACCTTCAGACGTCGTTGATCTACGCTCCAACTCCGTCAATCTTCACCATTGGACGTGTGTTCCGTAGATATGCACTCTATACCATCGAACGTCGGTTCCATTGATTTTCACTGTCGTCGATTTGTAAGATCACCTCCTTCGTATCCGCTGTCGTTATCCACACCCACGAACATAAACACACTCTTTTTTTTTTTTTTTTTTTTTTTTTTTTTTTTTAGATTTTTTGTTTTTATTTATGGTTTGAATGAATTTCTGTGTTTGAATGGGTTTAAGGAGTATTTTTCTAGTTGTGAAGGTGGTGATGTTTTCCAATAGGAGAGGGGGTGGTTTTTCGACGACAATGGTTCTGTAGTCTATGGGTTCCTCCTTTGGTGGGATGATGATGAATGTGGGGTTTATTTTTTTCCTGGTTTTATTGTTTAAGTCAATAATAGTTTAATTAAAAAAAAAACAAGTTAGGATAATATAGTTTTTTTTTTTTTTTTTTTTTTTTTTACATGGGGTGGGATCAAAGATACAATAAAAACATATAGTATGGATGATACGGATTAAAAAAAAGATCGAGCTATTAGCCAGGTAATGATTTTGCTTGGCTAATGTGGAATTTTTTTTTCCGGTTTGCATTTACCCTCTACATTTACCTCTTAGTTTGTGTTTGCCCAAACTTCTTTTTTGTTACCCATTTGCCATTATTTTGTGGAAAATGACCACTTTTAGACCTTGGCCGGTCACCAACAAATATTTTAAAACATAATAGCTTAAAATGAAAGATGGAGAGGTGTTGAAGGCAAAAGTCGAAATCACGACTTCTCCTTGAAGGCATGTTTTCTATTGAGCCAATACATAAGATGATAGTTTTCGAAACAGATTCTATGGTTAACAAAAATAGTCTAAGATTTAACGTAAATCGCTAATTAACAAGTCCAGTTTGGGTAATCCATTGCTGATTAGACATAAAACTAGATCGCGAATTTAATGAATATCGTGAATGGTGATTGAGTACAATTGGGTATATTTTGTAATATGTCAAACTATTATTAAAATATGTATCATTATATATACATGAATTACGAATGAATTAACAAAGATATTCATAGCTCGGAAATTAGCATGACCCATTGTCATAAGCGTGCAACAAACTTCTTGCATCCAAGAACATGGGAAAATATTCATAGCTCGGAAATTAGCATGACCCATTGTCATAAGCGTGTAACAAACTTCTTGCATCCAAGAACATGGGAAAATATTGAGAGCCATAAGGCATTGGAGTAGTGTGTTTCAGGATCAGCCCACATAACAACAGATGAATTGATCCAACTGTCCATCTTGGTATAAAATACTAAAGCCACATCAAGGATGATGATCTCATAACCCTTTATCCCAAAAAAAAAAAGGAAAAAAAGCTTCTCCAATATGAAATGTCAAGAGTCAAGAAGCCTACCAACAAATTAAGCAAGTTCATGATTTCTGGAAATAAACTTAACTAGGCTGATTTTTTTTATGATAATGGAGTCAAATAAATCAAATAAATGAAATAAGTTCCTTATTGGCTCTTGATGACTCTATATAAAGACAAATTCTATTATTTATAAAGAAAATATAATAGTAAGATATTCATAGTTATTTTCTTAAAATCATCACTCAACCCTTTTACTTTAGTACGTAATGCCTCAACCCTTTTACTTTAGTACGTAATGCCTCGTAAAAACTTTCAATAAGCACATATAATTCTAAGAGTTAAATGTAAGAAATAACATTGTATTTTTTTTCTTTATTATAGTTTTGTACTTTCATATATTTTTATTACAATATGCACTTTCAAATTAAATTTTATTAGGCAATCGTAGTTTGTTAAATATATTAATTATAGTAATAGGGAACTGTTGACTCGAATTATGATTGTATGGCACAACTTAAAAGCTTTTTATGCTAAAACAAAGAGAGCTATTGATTCACGGACTAACACGCCTTATCCCTCAAGGAGAGAGGTCGTAGATACGACTCTTGCCTTCAGCGCCTCTTCCGCTTTCATTATAAACTATTATATTTTAAAAGTAAATGTGTTGTTGAACGACCAAATGCTAAAAATAAAAAAGTTACTCAAAACTATTAGCAAATGTTGAACAAAGAAATGTTAGGGCTAAATACAAGCCCAGAAAAATGGAAATTTTAAAAACATAAAATGGTATATAAATAACAAAGTAAAAGTTGGAGTTACAACGAAAAAAGACAATGTAAATAATAGTTTTTATGACATTAACCAAAAAAAAAAAAAAAAAAAAAAAAAAAAAAAAAAAAAAAAAAAAACTCTAAGCTTTCTATAAGAAATGAAGAGTTTTTCAAAATATAATAGTATACAAGGAAAATGACTTGTGTTAAAAAAAAAAACAAAAACAAAAACAATATTTTTACAAATAATGTTTTTTGTGGCACAGTGGAATTAAAAAAAAGTTTCCGTAGATGACAAATCTTGGAAGATAGATTCACCATTTTTCTGTTGCACCACAGATACATCAGATTATGAACATAGACTAAACAAAACTTGTTGGTTCCTGAAATTGTCCTAGGCATCATGACAGCTTAATCTGTTTTAGATTATTAGGGAGGAATATAACATCCATTTGAACTTGATCCCGTTCAACACCCAAAGATTGGCCGACTGCCGACCGGAATTGAAGTTTCCCAAGTAAGACAGATATTAGGAGTTAAGATTTTCATAAAACGTTCGTTGTTAAATTCCATATCATAACAATGGACAATAGGTTCGTTGAAAGTTTCATAGGTTCGTTAAAAGTTGAAACTTTCAGAGATATCAGGTACACGTTACTCATAACATCAACAAATTAAATTATAAGAAATAGACAAGTTGTACTAATATCACAAGGATTCAAATCAACTGAAAGAAGACAGGCAGCTATCAAGCAAGCAATATATTAAGAAAATGACGCATAGGCCAAGAGGCAAATGAGCTTAACAGAGGAAGGCGATACGGAGTAGGAAGATGCATCGCTCTTATTAAGACCACCAGTGCTGTTGTTCCTGTTACTTCTCGAAAAGGGCGAACCACCATTAGCTATCGGAAATGGCGAACCACCATCAACCGGGGTTTTGCTTCCGCTTCCGCCATCACCGCCTGCAACTCCATGGTGATCAACTCCACCACTGTGGGCAACAACAGCTATAGCTAGAAGCAGAGCAATAATGAGGATTGGTCTGATTGGAAGAAGGCGAGACATTGGTGAAGTTGAGCTGAAAGTGAAATTAGGGATTTGATTGTGGATGCAACAAGAAGATGAGAGATGTGGCAAGTTACACGTGTTACGAAATGCACATCGTTGTTAGAACACTAACGGCCTTCAATCCATTATCTGATAAATGCCATTCAAATCCACATTTTGCAACGAAAAACAAAGTATAACATCTTTAAACATTACCAAAACAAAAACAAAATCACTTATTGAAGATCTGAATTAATAGTTAACGTGTAAAATTATTTATTGATAAAATATGATGATAAATTTTGAACAAATTACCATGAGACAAAACTTGCAAAAATGTCCCCGCGGTATGCATTTTTTTAGGGTTTTAGTTCAAACCCTGATTTTTTTGGCTACATGGTCCTTTTGGCCGTGTTAGTATGTAAATTTGGTCCCTCGTAAAATTGAAATGACTGTAATGCCCTTCTGATATATTTTTTATGTTTTTTCTATTTAATTTAAATGAAAAAGAAAATAAATAATTAATTTAGGCCCACATATCTCTCTCTCTCTCTCTCTCTCTCTCTCTCTCTCTCTCTCCCTACTGGTTTGTGACCCCATCTGCAAAAAACGAACCCTATGTCTTCTTCATCATTTTCTCTTTACCATTGTTAGATCATTCAACTTCAAACATAAAACTAGTTTGAAAAACCCAGACCACGAGCTTGATCTCTCACACACACATACATCGATTCATCTATTTGCTCATCCTCAATTCCAAATCTGCAAACAACTATTCTCTTCTCCTGAAAATCTTTCATTCCTTAATTCAAGATCAGTTCCAACTCCCCCCCATGTACAAGAAAGAAACCCAATTTCCAACAGGAACCACCTTCTTCTTCCTCCTCTGCCATCGCCCATCCTCATCAGCAAACACCCATCACTTGTATCCTTAGCACCGAAGCCAGTATCTCCATCACTATCTTCCTCGTTCTCGTCCTCAAACACATAAAACAAAGAAGCATTAGACCAATGGAAGTTGGGATGTTGAATATGGTGTTCCTCAGCCCATCGATATTCCCTCTTCCTCCACTCACTTTATCGTTTAATCAGAAAGAAATATCACCAAGCTGACGACGAGATGGGAAAGGAATACCTCAAGAGAATTTATTTCTTTCCTCTAGAGGTGATACTGATGTCCATCTTCGTTGTAGCTCATTAATTCATATATTATGTTGAGGTCTTGGCATGGAATTGTGTAGCCTGTCGGGATCTGGAATTGGAATTGGAAACTAGATTGGGATTAAATCTGGAATCCCAATCCAGTTCGCGAAGCTAACCCTAACGAGATTCACTAGAAGGGATAACGAATCCGAAATCGGGCCTGAAAACAGATTGTCTTGGAGGTAGAGATTACGAAGGCTAACTAGTGAGAAGATGTATGTGGGGAGTGGACCAGAGAGGGCGTTGTAACAGAGACTGAGAGTGGTGAGTTGGGTCAAATTGGCGAGGGTGTTGTCGGGGAGCTCGTCGGAGAGACCCATTCTAGGGAAGTGAAGTTCGACAACATGGTTGGTTTTGTTGTCGTAGAAGACACCGGGCCATGTGCAAGGATTTTTCTTCAGGTCAGGTTTACCGGCGATGAAGAGGGAGAAGAAAAGGATTACAGAGAAAAAGAAAGGACTTTTCTTCATCTGAGAGAGAGAGAGAGAGAGAGTATGTGGGCCTTTATTTTTATTTTTTTATATATAAATACTTAAAGGAAAAAAAGGAAAATAAATATAATAGGGACAATTTAGTCTTTTCAGTTTACCGAATGACAAAAATCACAAGCAAACTACATCAAAAGGACCACAAATCCAAAAAAGTTGTGGTTTGGAATAAAACCCCCAAAAAAGTACACACCACAGGGTCCATTTTTTTTTAATTTTGTCTTACTAAAATCGTCCCTGTGGTTTGTCAAAATTTCGTGTTTGGTCCCTAAATTTTTTTGCACTCGGACCATCCATATAGTTTGTTTGTTTCGGTTTTAGTCCATGACATACATAAAAAGATATTATACCTTTAGATTATTTCATAAAGTTATATTTTATTTTACATATTACAAAAAAACTTTGGCTTACACATCTTCAAACCCCCAGCCCACCTTTTCCCTTCTTAAACCTGAAGCCGATCATAAGCTCAAGTAATCTCTCTCCCTTTAAACTCAACCCTAAAGCACCGATCTACACTCCTCGTCGGAAGTCGTAGACGGAAACCTCTAGTTCTAAAGTCGCTGCTATCATCAAGCATGTGAACACTAACATAGGAAGCTTGCAACCCTAAAGTCGTTTGAAACCTCTAATTTTAAAGTCGTCGCTACTACTTTTTCGTCGATTTGTTCGGTTGATTTTGTCTTGAACACTCTGAATCTAAAGGGGAACGATGGGTGAATCGATTTCTAGAACCATTTGAGCATCAATGTTTTTTTTTGTAGGTTTGGGTTGGAGGAAGAGGAAAAGGATTTATGGGTTTAGTTTCTAGGAATATTGTGGTTAATGGAGTGGTGTTAGAACTAGAGTTCAATGTCGGAGGTGGTGCTCAATATCATAGAGAGAACTTCAGGCCGGAATATGCAAGTGTGGCCGGAATCTGTAGGTTTGGCCGGTGAGGTGTGATCTATGAAAGAAAGGGAAATGGTGGAGTCGATGGGGAAAGAAAACATAGTAGATGTGGGTGATGTTTGACAACGACGGTGGCGGTCGACGACAATAGTGGTGGTGGTGGTGCTCAATGGTAGTGTTGGTGGTGGTGATCTTTATTTTTCTAATTAGGAAATTATAAATAAATAAAAGACAAAATTGCAAAAAATGGTCCCCGTGGCATGCATCTTTTCTGAGGTTTAGTCCAAACATCGATTTTTTTTGGCTTCATGGTCCTTTTGAGCTAGTTTCATTGCGGATTTGGTCCCTCGGTAAACTGAAATGACTTTAATAACCTTGGGTATTTATTTTTTATTTTTAAATTCATTTTTTCAAAGTTTAATAATTATTTATTTATTTTAATATTTAAAAAATAAGAGGCCCACCTCTCTCTCTCTCATACACAATTAATACATGTCAAGAACAATTTTAGAAATTTACTCGAACAGAGAATTAAAAATGACAAAATTGCAAAAATAGTCCCTGTGGTTGGCAAATTTATGTGCTTTTGGTCCAAAACGAAATGTTGGTGCACCACTAGTCCAAAATTTGATCTTTCTATTGTTTTTGGTCCCCTATCAACGTAAAAAGACTATTATACCCTTATATTTGTTTTTTTAATTTCTTTTATATTTATTCAAATGTTTTTTATTAATTAAAATTGAGAAAAAGTCTCTCTCTCTCTCTCTCTGAAACGCAGAGTGAGAGGGGACATGCTTCTTAGTTCTTCATTCATCCTCCATCTTCACTCTTTCAATCAAACCCCCATATTCACTTTTTCCATTGATTTTGAAACCCAACGGATCTGTGATGTTTTTCCCCAAACACACACACACATATCAGAAATTTTCCAGAAAATCATAACACACACTCACACATCACTCCTCTGTCGAAGCTGCAGTCGGGGCTAGATTTTACAGAATGGATTTGGCCACCACCATCAATCTCGTATACCATCACCGTTCTACACTACCATCTGTCTCAATTAGGAAACCCTAACCCTCAAAAATGAAAACCCTAGCCCTAAAAAATGTAGATCGGAACCACCGAATTCGAGTTGGGATCAGGCTTTGAGTTATACGAAGATGAAGCGGATGTGGAACCCGATGAAGAAGAAGGATAATATTTTGCTTTTTTTGTCAGAGGGTAAATCGTGTTCCCGAGTATCGCTTGCAGATCGTCCACAAAAACAGAGGTTATACCCGGCGAAGGACCAGCGGCATCGGCGCTAGCTGAGCTGGTGTTCATAAGCGAATCGTCAATCATTGGTGGTCCAGTTGTGGGATAAAGCTCACAAATCATGGATTCAAACCACGATGAGAGATCAGAAGGATTATAATGAACGAAATCGGAAGCAATTTATCTCAAGGATGTGTGTCGGGAAGGTATTTGTCACACCCCGAACCAGACGGCGGAATCGTCTGGGGGCTCGTGTGACTAAAAATTGAATTATCATCACAATGAATATACATGAAACATAACACATACAACACCAACATTACATATTACAACCAACATTGTTAACATCAAGTACATTGTTAAAATACATAAGTTCAAATTGTTAAAAGTACGATAAGTGATGTTACATAAAGCAAAACCATACATACCGTTAAATAGGCTGTTTTGTACTGACACAATCGAAGGGTTAATCTTCGAAACATTATATTGGTATTGAATCTCTATATGAGCCGTTATAATCATATATGATAATGACTAGGTTTCCTGTCTTAACATTTTTCCAAATGTCGGTATTCGCTCAAGGTTTTATCGCCCTAGACTGGCCTAGTCTAGCTGTAGCGAACAGCTAAGGCGTGGGGGGTCACTGTCACACCCCAAAACCGGAACGGCGGAAACGTTCGGGGGTGGAGGATGTCATGTACAGTATCACAACAAAGCATAGTAGTAAACAAGCAACAACATCATCCATTGCATTAATAATATAATTTAATACAAGCGTGTTCTGTGAAGTTTATAAGACACCAAAAATGTAAATCAAAACAAGAGACGAGTCTTGAACGAGCTCCATCTTCTCAAAACTTGGCCTCGGTACCTATCTACTGATGACCTGAGAATACAAGTTATTTTGAAAGAGTTTATCAGCTTTAAAGCTGGTGAGTTCATAAGCATTTTAGTGTCATTGTTTGTATGAAAATGTTTGTAAGTGTTTGATGTATAAGTTTGTAAATGTTTGTAGTAAATGTTTGTATCTCCTAGAAAATCCTATATTTTCTACTAAACGTAGCCTTCTACCAAGGCATCAAATGTTCTGTATGTTTGTTTCTTGTAAGAGTGTGTATTTTCCCAAGTGTGACTATCATTAACCAAAAATATAGTTTTACATTACCTTTTATGTGAAAA